GACCTAAAACATCATCAGATTTTCACACAAGTCCTAAAAGTAGATCAAGAGAACCCAGTTAAATAAATGAGACAAAATATTATACTTGGTCATTTATTTATTGAGGAAAATTATCCAATATTAAATATTTGTGATGGTAAAAGTATGTGAACCTCGAGGATTATCAGTTAATTTGAAGGTGAAATTAGAGTCAGGTGTTTTCAATCAATGGATGATGATCAGGTGTGAGTGGACCTGTTTGAGTTAAAGAACAAAGATCTATCAGTCTGCTCTTCACAACATGTTTGTGGAAGTGGATCGTAGCAGGAACAAAGTAGATTTCTGAGAACCTCAGAAAAAAAGTTGTTGTTGCTCATCAGGCAGAAAAAGGTTACAAAACCATTTCTAAAGAGTTTGGACTCCACCAATCCACAGTCAGACAGATTGTATACAAATGGAGGAAACTCAAGACCATTGTTACCCTCCCTAGGAATGGTGGACCAACAAAGATCACTCCAAGAGCAAGGTGTGGAATAGACAGTTAGGACACAAAGGAGCCCAGGGTAACTTCTAACAACTGAAGGTCTCTCTCATATTGACTAATGTTGATGTTCAGGAGTCCACCATCAGGAGAACACTGGGCAGATAAATATGAGAATCATCAGCATAACAATGAAACAAAATACCATGTTTCCTCAGGACAGAACCCAAGGGGAGCAGATACAATGAGAACAGAAGGGGTCCAAGAATCGAGCCTTGCAGGACCCCATAGGAAAGAGGTACAGAAGCAAATAAATGATTGCCAAAATTAACACAGAAACTCCTGTTACTCAGATTTGAATGGAACTATTCTAACGCTGCACCCGTAATCCCAACCCAGTGTTCTAGCCGTGACATAAGGATACTGTGATCAACAGTGTTGAACGCAACGGTAAAGTCGAGAAGTACCAGGATCACAGACTGACCAGTCATTCGCTAGCAGAATGTCATTACAGACCCTTACTAAAGCTGTCTCGGTGCTGTGCAGTTGTTTAAATCCTGACTGAAAAATTTCAAAGATTCCATTTTCATTCAAAAACTTTTTAGTTGACTAAAAACTATTTTCTCCAATATTTTAGAAAGAAATGGAAGTTTTGAGATTGGCCTGAATTTTGAACAAGTTGCAGTGTCAAGTCCAGGTTTTTTAATTAATGGAGTTACCACTGCATGTTTAAAAACATCAGGAACCACACCTGTAGCCAAACTGCTGTTAATAATGGTGAGAACAGAGGGTCCAGTTGATGGTAGAACCTGTTTAAAAAACGCTGCAGGGATGGGATCAGCAGGGGAGCCTGAGGGTTTCATGTGACCGACAACATCATTTAAAAATGAGAGTGAGATGGATTCAAAGTGACTGAAGACTGCTGAGCAGGGGCCAAGAACTGAGGGGTCGGCTGTGGAGTGTGGAATCAATGACCTAAACCAGTGGTTCCCAACCTATTTTCCTCAAAGACCCCCCCCTTCTTACTTCCTAGCCAATCTGAGACCCCCTAATCCCTCGCTACTCCCCTCTCCCAAAAGACTCATTAAGATTAATCTCTTTATCAAAGTGATAAAAGAATAAAGTAAATATTATAAGTAATATTATAAGTAATACAAGTAAATATAGAACAAAGTCAAAATATGGTAATAGTTACAAACTTTTATTTGTAAAAGGTATAAACTGGTAGTTGTACAACAGAAATAACTACAAGAACACTGTTTTGAAAATTACTCAAATAACTTTTCTTTAAAAACTAACAACAGAGTAATTTTAAAAACAGTCTTAAAAATAAAAATTGTAGTTTTGTCAAGATATCAAACTCTGGGCAGGTACACACAGCTCTAACAAAAACAAAGACTAATGTGTATATGCATCCATACACACATTCATACATACATATATGTATGTCCACATACATACACATATATAGATATACATACATATACATACATATACATACATACACCATACCATTTTATTTATAGAGCACTTAAAACAGCTACAAGGCCAACCAAAATGCTGTACAGACAGAACAACAGACAACACACAAAGCAATATACAAAATGAGGTAAATCAGAATATAGACATAAAAACGATGCATATAAACACATACACATAAATATGTATAACACAACAACAACAAAAAAAGAGTTAAAAGGGCAGAAGGCTTTTTACTTGAAAGTTATATTGACTTGAATTGGATTTGTTTGTAAATTTAATAGATAACTTTTTGAGACATGTTGGTTTGGAAAAATATCTAATTCTGATCTGAATAATAAGGTAATGGCTAGCTCTAGTAGGACCAAGACCAGAGTTTCTTCCTGCCACCCTAAAACAACTTTAATGACAAAAAATTAATTACAGATGGCACAGCAGGCTGGACAATAATATTAAAACAGCAAAGTTTGTGTACAAACAAGATATATTTATATCTATGTATCTATATCTAAAATGTACGAGTGTGTGTTTATACACTGTGCATATTATTAAAACAGAAACCCAGCAATAACTTCAAAACGACCAGTACATTGTGTCTCTCAGTCTGTTCATTCTTGAACTAATGGCCACCCTGGGCTGGCTCTGACCAGGGGTTTGATGTCAGGTGGTGTTTGTCACAGCCAGCCTAAAGTCTTGATAGACATCAAGTCTGTTGCAGCTTTGTTTTTATTGACACAAGAGGCTGAAGGTTGCCTCAGACAGGTAAGTAGTGCTGAATGGAACCCTCATCAGTGTGTTTGGTCAGTCTGGGTACAAGGACTTGTCCTTTGGCAGTCCAAAACTTTTTGTATCCATTTTCTTGGAAATATATTTTGGATACAGAATCAGCTTGGAGGTAACAAAGTTCATCACAGCCAAGGAGACGCGCGCAGCCGGTGATTAGCAAATAAATAAATAAATCTGTCGATCCATCCAGCCTCACCTGCTTCTTCCTTTTCGGGTCGGGGGTCGCTGGTGCCCATGTCCAGCCATCACTGTGAGAGAGGCAGGGGACACTCTGGACAGGTCGCAAGTCCATTTCTAACTGGTGGTTCAGCGGACGTACGCAGCCAGTGTCCATCTTGTTGTTGTGGTCCATCTGAGATTAACGCAACTTTTTTAATAACCGGCCAGTCGGACCTGCCTCTTCCTCAAAAAGTAGAAACCTGGAGTTTATCTTTTTTCCATCTATGCTCAGCTCTCCTGCACAGGCGTCTTGCGTGGTCTGATTTAACCAGGGGTGGGACGTGCGTTTCAGAGTCCTGATCTTTAACGGGGCGAGTGAGTCCAAGATCTGTACACAGGCCTCCTGATGCTGAGAAAGCAACTCATCTGTAGGAAAACCCACAGAGAGTTCTGAGTCTGTAACACAATTTATACAGAATTTACAAAGAAAGTCACTGCTCTCCAACAAGAACATTGCTGCTCGTCTGCAGTTTGCTAAAGATCATGTGGACAAGCCAAAAGACTGTTGGAAGAATGTTTTGTGGACGGATGAAACCAAGATAGAACTTTTTGGTTTAAATGAAAAGTGTTATGTTTGGAGAAAGAAAAACACTGCATTCCTGCAGAAGCAAGGCCGGATTAACCATATGGGCAACTGGGCAAATGCCCAGGGGCCCACAACCACTAAAGGACCCAGGGCAGTGAGGGCCCAAGCAAAATATCTGGTTATCTCCCACTTTATGATAAACTGTCAGCCCGAGCCCTTGTGCTGCACAGAAAGACCGCTGCATTTGGGCTGCACCACCTCCTCCCAGGGCTGGCTGCAGCTCTCTTTTTTTTTTTCCAGAGTCTGATCCTTGACGCGACCTGTTAATCAGTCCAGTAGGCATGTCAGCAACTGACCAATCGACGACCTCAATTTGTCCCAAAGATAAACACCCCTTACCTGCAGTAAGCATATATACACTGCCTGGCCAAAAAAA